ACTTAAGCTGAACAAGTCATTATATGGTCTCAAACAGGCCCCACAGCAAGTTTAATGAGTTTTTACTGTCGTAGAGATTATTGCCTGTATACAAAATATATTTTGTATTGTCTGTATACAAAATTTGATAGTACTAATAGTGGTTCTATATGTGGATGACTTACTGATTGCGGCAAACCAAGAAAAATCTATTGAAAAACTGAAAAGAGATCTATCAACCAAATTTGAAATGAGCGACTGTGGAACGTTAGGCTATTTTCTTGGAATAGAAATTGAATTTCATGAAGGAAAAATAAAATTATCTCAAGAATCAAGTATTGGAATGTCTGATTGCAATCCGGTAAAAACACCAATGGAAAAAGGACTTCAGCTGTTACCTGGAGACAAAATAAATGAGAAAGTGAATGAACCATATCGTGAGTTACTTGGCAGTTTGATGTACGCAATGCTCAGTTGTAGGCCTGATATATATTTTTGTGGCGTATATGTGACGATTTCAAGAAAATCCAACTGAAACACATTGGCAGCATCTTAAAAGAATCGTACGTTATCTAATGGGTACAAAGAATATGAAACTACTTTATTCCCCAAATAATGAAATTCCCATACTTGGATTTGCCGATGCTGATTGGGCAAATGATATAAAGGATCGAAAGTCAGTTAGTGGATATCTGTTCAAAGTTTATGGTTGTGGTCTTCAAAGAAACAACAAACAGTGGCAACTTCCTCAAGCGAAGCAGAGTATATAGCATTAAGTGCAGCAGTTTCAGAAGCCTTATGGTTACGTGGTTTGATCCAAGATTTACAAGAAATTAAAAATGAAACTGTCACAATATATGAAGACAATAAAGGATGCATAGGTATGGCTAATACTTCTGAAATCAAAAGAGCTAAACATATAGATGTAAAACATCATTTCATTCGTGATAGTGTTGCTAAAGGATATGTAAAAAGTGAGTCTATACGGTCAAAAGATCAAGATGCTGATATGTTTACAAAGGCCTTAGATATCAAGCGTTTTAGTGAACTTCGGTCTAAACTAGGAGTCAACGATTGAGAAAGGGTATTGAAATATAACTTGTTTTAAAATGAATATAGCAATCGTTTCTAAATATTTTTATGTATGACAATTTTATGAAAATTTTGTTCATTCCAAATTTAAGACTTGACAAATAAATATCTGAATTTCTTTTATTAAATAATATAAATACTTGAATTCAATAAAAAAAACAATAATAAAAAAAGAAAAAAATAACACTAGTGAAGATAGGAATATATATATACGATCGTGCCTCCACCTGAAATGTAAACAATCTGTCATCATCTATGAAACAGCGGAGGATAATGAGCGAGCGTGGCAATACAGACAAACGAGGAATATAAACTATCAATTACGATCAGTGTGACCAGGTCTCAAAAAATGTTGCGGCTAAATCCCATCCAAAATAATGCTAGAAAAAATGCTAAATTGATTTTAAAATGCTAAAATTTTTAAAGTGTTTTTATGAACAATTCATATTAATTTGTAACTGAAATTCATTGTAATTTATATCAAGTAAGAAAGTATATTCTGCCGTGGTTGACCATATGAGTATAAAATTTGATTTATTTTTCGTAATAAAGCATTTATGTTGAATTGAACCTTGGTTTCGATATATTTAAACTAATTTTCTGAGAAAGGCTTTATACATTTGTATATGTATGGGGGCTAGGTAAAATAAAGGACGGACTTTAACCATTTTTAAAAAGTTTTGTCATTGGATCAAAAAGCATACGTGCTTATTGTTTTGAAAATTTCAACTTCTACCAGACGGTCAGACTTACATAGCTTAATCGATTCAGAAAATGATTCTTAACCGATTAGCATACTCAAACGTAGTATAGTGGAGTAGGGTAAAAAATTAAGTTCCGTGGTATTAAGATAAACAGAAATGCTAAAAATTATTTCAAAATTTTTGTAAATTTAGCAATATGTAATGTCTCTAACTTTAAAATATTTCTGAATGCAAAAATTACATTATAACTCTATTAATTACACTAGTTGCTCATGGTATAAAACCTATATGTGTTTTCGGAAGGAAAAGTATATTTCTAGTTTTACTTTTTTTATATAAACAATTTTATTTGTCTTCCTCAAAACACTTTAAAAATGGTTTTCATGTCACAAAATTATTGAAAATTCCGTTGAAATAATTTTAAATCTCGGTGAATAGATGTCAGGTTTATAACTCATACTTCCAAGATTTTTTCGAAAAAATATATATGAGAATGTATGAAATGAATTGAGAGATATATTCAAATCCGTAAGTTTGTAATTCTGGAATAAATTGTCAAAAATATTTTCGAAATTTATGTATTTTTTTTTTAATTAAAAAAAAAAACGTGACAACAAAATTACTAAAAATTTGGTAAAAATAAAAAGAACAGAAAGTAGGGTGAGAAAGTAATAATTATATATTATTGATTTTTTTCAATACTTATTTTCAATAAATTAACAAGAACTCCTGAATGATGATAAAAATTAAAACCTCTTTATTTCGTATAGGAAAAAATAAAATTTGTTAATTAACCGTCATACATAGCCTTTTCCAAAATTATATGTTTCATTCCATGAGCAAACAAAAAGTATTGTAAAAATATATGAATTCTCTTGAATTATTTCTATCACTCGAATTTAAAAAAGCATTGGGTTCCAGAAAAATATTTTAGAATACAACATTTTAAAGTATTCACTTGTATTGGCGTAATTTTAAGTTATTTATCTTCATGAATCTTTTTGCATTATTTTGAATTACAGTGTAAATTATTACATTTCTCATATTTCTTGTAGCTTGTGTTTGGGTAGACATTTAATTCTGATTTTTCCGGTTAAACCTATTTTCAATATAAATCTTTTTTGCAAAAATTTGTCTTTTTTTTGTTTATATACTAAAATTGCAAAAAATGCTAAAAATATTTTATAAAAATGTTAAATAAAATGCCAAATGCTAAATTAAAATTTTACAGCTAAATCAAAATAAAAAATGCTAAATCTAGCTGCAAAAATGCCAAAATGGTCACACTGATTACGATAAGTATAATTTGTTTAGAAAATAAGTTAAAATAAACATACCCAGGAAAAATAAAACTTTGATCTCCTCTTGGCAGGTGGTTATAAATCAAATAGCGCTATTTCTTTTAGAAATAAACAAAGAAAATCTTAAGCATGAAATTTACAATGCATTGGCTAAATAGCTAAAGTGACAGGTTTATTTTAGGCCTAAGTATAAGTGTTGCATAACTATAAGTTTTGCAGTGTTTGAACCTAAATTTTCTACCACTAAGATTTATTTAAGACCTAAATATAAGTCTTAGGTACAAATAAGATTTGAAGTCGTTAAACCTAAATTTCTACCCTTAAGGTTTATTTAAAACCTAAATATAAGTCTTAGACACAAATAATATTAGAATTTATTAAACCTACATTTCCTCCACTAAGTTTTGAATTTATTAAAGCTAAATGTTTACCACTAAGGTTTATTTAAGACATAAATATAAGTATTATATAAAGTTCTGATTTGTGAAACTAAAGTACAAAAATAAAATCTCCAAAAATATACACCTTAAAGTATTCTAAAGCAGAAAATTTAAAGTTTGCCATGGAGAAGTAAAAGGAAGTCCGAGAAGTTAGGTATTTGCAAAAGGAAGGAATGAATTTTGGGGTGATATAATTGTTTAATGGAATGTCACCATGGTTTTAGCTACAACAGCAATAAAAGAGGTTGGGAAGTCTGGAGACCCTATAACACCTAAAGGCCACTCTAAGTTCACATGGAAATTATCAGCTTCAAGGTCCCGTTTTTTTATTGCTTATATTTATGACAATATTTTGGTAGCACTGGTACAATTTTAACGTCAAAAAACGTGAACTATTACTTGCAACGAACACCCGTCCAAATTTAACTTGTATTTTGTAACAAGTAAAATTTTTACTCAAAGTTCTCGCTCGTTATCTAGAAACAACACATAAGCTTGAAAAATAATTATTAATGTGTTGTTTCTAGATAACGCGTGAGTAGTTTGAGTTAAAATTTTACTTGTATTTTGTTTTTGTTACAATAACATTTATTTGTAGGTGGATCTTATATGGAAGTTGGGAGTGCGTTTAGGGAGCTATGATCAATTATAGTCAAATTCGAAAACAATTTTTCTGAATGATTTGTATATGTACTATGTCCTGATACGGTTATTTGTAGGCCTTATATGGAAGCTATGATTGAATTTTGCACTAGTTAGAAATTCATGATCAAAATAAGACTCATCGAAAGAAAATCTATGTATAGTTTTTTGGCTGATTGATTGACTGAAGAGATAAGATTTCGTTTTGAATTTTGAGACTAAATTCAGTATTTTTAGAGCGTTCAAAGTCAAACAATACTTTCAATGTATTAAATTATATGTATGTATATATTTATATTATATGTATGTATATTATTTATTTTTTGACAACATTAAAGTGATTCTATTTAGATTAAGTGTATATGTATGCATGTGCATACATATGCATTTATATTATTTGTACATAAAGAAAATTATATTTGTTTAATTAGAGATGAAACTTAAAATAACATTGTTATTTTTAGCTGGTTTAATGTAGAATAGAGTGCTGTTTGTATTTTATGTATATTTATGTATGCCTATACCTGTACTTAATAAATATGTATGTATTTTTAAGTGTAATTGTAACTGCACAAAAATATTTAAAAATAATTTAATTCATTTGAATACTTCGCTCCGTAATTATACATATACAGTATTGTTCGAAATATAAGCAACTTTTTCACTTTTTGTAATCAAAGTATTTTATATTATATTTAAATTGCTTTATAAAGTATCTAATGTGGAAACAAAAATAAAATTAACTTTAAAATCAACTTACTCATCGTTTTATAATAAACTATTTGCCACTTTGATTCTCACTTTTCAGCTCCTGTCTAAAGATCAGGTTCTATGAGGGATTCAATTGTTGTTCGAAAAGTTGATTTAAAGTTAACTTTCCTGGCTGTGAGACTGATATTAAAAAATCACGTTTTTTATTGAAAAGGATTGTTATGTTATGTTTTTTTTTTCAAGATATTGTGGATACGTTAGACCGACGTGGAATAAGTGTAATATTTTTTTTTTTATTACGGTTAAACAAACTTTATAATATGTACTTTGATTTCATTAAAATTAAAAACTTTTTAGGTTACCAACAATACTGTATATAGTTGTATGTATGTTTTGTTTTTTAGGTACTGTAGATATTGTACGAAACTACCCATGGTGTATATGATTTTATTGGATCTAAACTAAAACATATTTCCAAATGCGATTTGTTTGATGATTTGTGCCAATTTCACTGACATATAGCGCTGAACCATTTACGCAAACTGCTATGGAATGGGGGTTTTTAAATTCGCCCCAATGACCAATAATTGTTTCAGATCTTGGATCTATGGTAAAACCGCGAACAGGTAACATAGATGTTGGACCATTAACAGCATAAACAATATCTCCATAGGCAGCAACACCAAAGACTCTACCTAAATCAGGTTCTTGTATTGTTGCAGCTGGTTGTCCTTCGCCTTGAGAAGATTTTAGGCCAGCCCTGTAAAAAATACATATGAAAGTATTTAAGTAGAAGTGATTATTTTGTAAATAACAATATTTTTCATGAGTTTTTCGTACTTAGGGCAGACCACTCGCATATTTTCGCGATCAGCAATACATAGTAAATCTAGGTGTTCTAATAATGTGATGGCATGTGGTACTTGCAACGATAGAAACTCTGAATAAATGTTAAAAATTAGTACATTAGTACAAAGTTAATTTAAATTCACTTACCGGGAGGCTGAGGGATAACACGCAAAAGTCGTCCAGCAGCATTAAATTTTAAAATTCTCTGATTGCAATATCCATCAGCAATAAAAAACTGAAAACAAACACAGAAAGATATGAATTTTAAAAATGTTAGTGTAATTTTCATGTCCTTAATTTAGTGGCGCCCAAACAGATACTGTTATACGTTTATTTGTATTGGTAAAGCAGCAGTGTGGCCGTAGGTTGGTGTTATGTCCGTTAGACCGTAGGTCATGGATTCGATTCCCACCTGAGGCACTGGTAAGGGAGCGGGCAACAAGGCCTATGGAGGCCTAGGTGTATTTCTTGGGATTTGATATAACATTTTAAACTAACTAAAGTAGCAAAAAAATAAAACTGTGCAAATAAAATGGTTATTATGGATTTTATGGAAATTACTATCAGCTATGCTCCCTCGTTCACCTACATAAATTCAGCTTTCTAAACGTGCAATGCACTATAGGCGGAATTGCCAGTTTTTGAGCCAATAAATTACAGAAGGCACGTAGGACTCTGAAATTTAGTTTGAGTCACTCGAAACGATTCATAATTATAAAAACTAATTTTCAAATTTATCGGACAACATATAAGGTCCACCTCAGAAAACTACTTTAACGCTCATAACTGGTATCAAAATATCTGTATAGTTATGAAATTCAACATAATCAAGTTTTATAGGAACCGAAATGTTTCTACCAAATGTTATGCGTATCAGCCCATAATTGACTCTATCGCCCATATAATGTACCCATTAGAAAATGGCATTATGGTTCATAACTGGCTTAAAAATTTCAATATAGCCATAAAATTTGACACAAACTGGTTTCATAGAAATCAAAATCTTTCTACCAAATTTTTTGTCCTTTATTGACCCTATTGCCCATATAAGGTGTCCAATATAAAATTACTTTAACACTCATAACTGGCTCAAAAATGCCAATATAGTGATGAAATCCGTCAAATACAACTTTTATGTATACATAATTGCCTCTAACAATTTTTATGAAGATCGGTCCATATTTGGCTCAATCCCACATAAAAAGCCTTGCGATCCAAAGTTATGGCCCACTTTTGGGTCGCACATGCAAAAAAAAAAAAACATTTATTTTCCCTTTACTTGTTATGTAGTCTCCTTTAAAATTTCTTTGAAAGTTATCACAAATCCACTTGAAAACAGTTCTCGCATTTTGATTATCCTCCAACAAAAATTTTGCAATTGGCGCATTTTGGAACAAAGTACTACTATATGAAACACAAAAACTATTACCAAAATCACATAAAACCACTTTAACGATACAAATTATGTAGTAAAAAACAATTTTATGCTTTTTTTGATAAAAATCAATTGGAGTTCGTTCCCTTTTACAAAAAAATAATAAGCGGAATACTTTTTGTTTATCACACTTTTGTTTTTCTCTAAGATTAAACGCAAAATGGTACAATTAAATTAAGGAATTCTTTATACATGTAGATTTAATAAATTACTAGTAATCTATATATATAAAAGAGTAGCGTTACTGACTGACTGATTCATCATCGCATAGCCCAAACGGCTGAACCTAGAATCATGAAATATAGACTGTAGATGTGTATTTGGTTATGTAGATCCACTAAGGAGGGATTTTTGTAAATGTACATTTGCGGGTAAAAAGGGGGAAAAACGGGTAAAACAGGTTTTCTTAATTATCTTACGCAATATTTGTGATACAAGAATAATTTTAAATGCACCTGTATCTGCTCTTAAAATTAGCAGATGGGTGTCTGGTACTTTTTTGAAATTCGTACTTTTAAGGGGTAAAAATATGTAACAAAGGTGATTTTGGTACCTTTTTTGGTCCTTTAGAACTTTTGAACTAATTAACATAATAAAATTTTAATAAGTATTTTGGATACATCTCCCAAAATTAAGAGACACCTGTTTCGTACTTTTTTATAATTCAGCCTTTTTAGGTGTAAAAGGAGAAAACTCTATTTTTTGTAACTTTTTTTTAGTTAATGTGAAAACTTTTTCGATTTATTGAAGTATTCCTATTAAATTACGGGCTAACTCTGTAATATTTATTGAAACAAAATGTTTGCTATTTCACTGGGGGAAAAAGTAACATAAAGGGGGAAAACGGGAAATTTCATTTTATTCAAACCCATTAAGCCAATTTTTATAAAATTTGAAAAAGTAGTTTATTTACTCACACAAAATAAGCTATTGGTATATTATTTTGGAATTCGAGTACTAAGGCCTATATAGGACCAAATTCGAGTAAATTGTTTGGTTCCTTTTTGAAAGCACAATTTTTCTGGAACAAATGAATGCAGATTTGAATCGATTGAGTTTTGTCTGTGATATATACATAGATTTAAATACGGAACATTTTGTAAACTTAATTCACAAAAAAGTATATTTCTAAGCGAAAAGGGGAAAAATTGTACTATTTTTTATTAGTATTTATTCCACTTTTGGTACTTTTCCTTTCTTCAAATGATACTCTGTATGTTTTATAATATGAATTCAAAACACATGATTATTAAACATACACGGCCCTCATTAAATAAGATTATTTAAGACAGAACTTTTTGGTACTTTTTATCTCATAAATGGTACTTTTTGAATTTTCTAAAATATTTAACCTAGGAACATAAATTTTAACATACATGGTCCTGACTGAGTAATATTCTGTAATTGGGAACTCTTTGGTACTTTTCCATTCTTCAAATGGTACCTTTTGGATTCTCTATAATGGTTAACCGGAACACATGACACACGGTCCTTATTAAGCGAGAATTTATTGAGAGATTTTTGTACTTTTTCGTTTTTCCGATAGTACTTTTTGATATTTTTGCGATATTGAACATAGAAATATAAAATTTGGTGAATGAGAATCTACTGAAAGGGACTTTTGGTATTTTCTCATTCATTAAATTATATTTTTTGAATTGTATATAATATTGAACACAGAAACATACAATTTTTGATTAAATGAAAATCTATTAGAGTAATTTTATAGTACTTTTTTTCAATTGTACTTTCGAAATTTTCTATAATAATGTGGAAGCTAAACGTATGAAACTAAAAATACAAGCTCTTACTGAATTTATTCGAAGTGACATTGAACGTAAAAAACTGAAACATTAAATAAATTTTTAATAATTTTTAATTGTCTACAAAAGTAAACAAAATTTTGTATTTATGTATTTAATTTTGGTTAGGGTAGCGAAGCACCCAGGGTATGCTAGTTATATATACATATATGTATAAGAAATGTAGAATCATAATTGGTGTTTTTTTGCTACCATTTCCTTCTATTTATACAGAATTTTAGATTTTTTCTTTTTTCATATTCGGAACAAATAATATTCCAAAAAAATATAACTTACTTCTCCAGTGGTTGATACGGCAATTGATGTTGGTTTGCATAAGTGTTTAACGGATGATCCTGGCCGAAAACGTTTTCCTATCGTTAGTAACGGCTGATTCTCATGCGGTTTAAACTACGATAAATTGAAAATATTTGCAAATTAATTAATCATTCTAAGAAACTAATTTTTTATAAATATAAAACAACGAAGTAATATTAGATGAAAAAAATAATGTAAAGAATGTGAAGAATAAGTAAATGAATATAATTTTAGAACTCCATATTGAGACCTAATATAAGACTAAAAGTCACCATTGCAATCGTGTGTGCTGAGCAAGATATGGGAATTTTTCAAAGACTTTACCTTTGGTAAATTCAAAAAATACAACAAAGTTAACTCTTATGGATTCTTACTTACTTGCATACCCTTCATATCGTCTTCTAAAACACAAACGGCCCTATCTAACATTTTTAAAATTTTACAGGAAAAAACAATTTTTATGTGGACATTTATTTTGATGCAATACATTAGAATCAACAATAAAATCGATTTTGAATTTTCATTATTTCATTGTTTTTTTCCTTTATTTGCATGTACAAATGATGTACACAAAATATTGTACACAAAAATGTGATTGAAATATTCATTAATTACACAGAGGGAAAAAGAAATATACACGCTTGGTACCAAATTGGCACCAAAGAGTTTGTAATTTTTCAATAACAACCGTTGTCAAAGTATATACATACGTACGACAACACTATGTCGCAACGTTGTCAACATTGCAACAATTCGTTGTCGAAATCTAAATTTTTTACACATACGTTGTCTAAATGTTAACAAACGTGGTAAGTTCACTATTGCGAACAATCCGTTGCCAATAGTGAGCTTACCACGTTTGTTAACATTTAGACAACGGATGTGTAAAAAATTTAGATTTCGACAACGAATTGTTGCAATGTTGACAACGTTGCGACATAGTGTTGTCGTACGTATGTATATACTTTGACAACGGTTGTTATTGAAAAATTACAAACTCTTTGGTGCCAATTTGGTACCAAGCGTGTATATTTCTTTTTCCCTCTGTGTACTTGGTTGTTTTTTTCTAAAAATGTGAGGTGGGAAAATGTCTATAACTTTGTTATTTCATAGATTTTAATGTTTTGTACCTTGTTGGAAAGACGAATAATTTTATCTAGAAGTTAAGATTTTATTCAAATTTAATAAAATATATGTATGTAATTTAAATTGCATTATTTTTTAAGAAATCAAAAAGTCAAATTTTCTGGCACGTTATCCGATTTGATAAAATTTTGCGCCAATAAGTTTTAGACACTAATAAAGAAAATAATACCCATTTTTTAGAAATTGATTCTAAAAAGCAAATATGTATGTATAATCAATATGCAACAACTTTTTCCTAATTTTATTGAAATGTTTATTCATTTCCTTGATAATATTTGGGTTTCTTTGAAGCTAGTGAATTAATAAGTTAGTTAGTTGTAATTTTTGTGTTAAGGTTTCATTGAAAAGTTATTAAGAGGTTGATAGATTCGTGGCTTCAGAAATTAAATTTATTCGCTATCCAACATTGGGGTTTGCAATAAGATGGTCGAGATATGGCGAATCATCACTAAATAAAGCTGAAATACTAAATAAAGCTCTAAAAATTACCTTAAAAGCTTGATGCATAGCAACATCTGTGATCCAATAGTTTCCATGAACATCAATTGTCATACCATGCGGCATATAAAATAAGTCCTCACCCCAGCCTGATTTTATTGCACCTGTTTTTGGATCCAATATAAATATTGTCTTTTCCTGGATAGGTCCATACTCAATCATATGATATATATTGCTTTCATTGAAAGTGCTTTTTGAAAAGAAAGAGAAGAATAAAAAAGTAAGTATTGATTTCTACTGTGTAATAATGTTTGGACGGATGTTAATGGGTGCCCCCTTTATTAAGAAGTTAAAAAGTTATCGATTATTCTAACCAAAATTATGATTTCATTTAACTTTGTGATTTGGATGAAATAAATGGTATTTTTCTTAGTTTTACACACATTTTTTGTTGTGTATTAGGAGAAATACATATATAAATGAATGTTATAGTTTTTAAATGCGATGTACATATTATCGCTTAGTTACTACAATACTAAGGCTTGGGGCCACTATCGGGCCTGTTGTGCGCTCCGTTACCGGAGCCTCCAGTGGGAATCGAAAACAAAACCTCCTTACTGACAGACTACAACACTACGGATGAATATGAAATACATATAAAAAAATAAGTAATATTTGTGATCATTTCACAAATTTTAAATATTGGGAATTTTTGTCCCATAGAAATAAATGAAGTAAACTTTAATTTCAATTAGAAGAATCACTAAACTTTTTTGGGGCACCCTTAATGTTTATTAGAGTGTCATGTAGGACAAAATGTTTAAAAATACTCCAAACGATGCGGATTTATAAATAAATAGGAAACATAGACCAATTTCACTAAAGAGCTAAAGTTTCGATTCCAACACATTTCATTAAGTGATAAATAAGTATTTAGATTCTGATATGAAAAAATCAATAATAGATTCAAATGTTTTGTAATTTGAATTTACTGTTAGAAGCATATGTATGTACATAATTGAAATGTATAAGTAGCAGACAACTTAAGATGCAATTGAAATTGTCTGATTTTCCCATATTTTCGATATGAATACGCATCGTCTGACATAAACTCTTAAACAAAATATTCAGAAAAAATCCAGTTTCTCGAGACACTCTAATATTGTGAATGCATAACAGCTGTTAACCTACTTAGCGTCCCAATATCTGTCAGCCCGATGAAATATAACAGGATTACCTTGAGGGTCTATCGACACAGCTGTTACTTGCCCGAAACTATGGCTACTTGCAGGCCAATTCTCAACCAGCACTGGGGTTGGGACATATGAAGGAGCAGTAGGAATAATGTCAAAGTTGGAAGCGGAAGAGATTTCCTTTTCATTTAACACAGTTTTATCGCTTTCCAAATGCAACTTTTTTATCTGCAAAATAAAATTAAAATACCACATACATATGTATGATAAATATGTTATTAATAGAACTTTAATTAAAATTACTGCAGCATTTTCCTTCAAGCGACGTTTAATAAGAGCTCTGACATCGTTAAAGAACCTTTCATTTAAAGTAAGTGCCTCATCTTCGGGGAAGTCAACCAAATGGTGTGTAGGCAAATGGTTGGCCCTAACTCTTACGAATGCGGTTATCACAATCACAAGAATGCTAAAAATATTCAAGGTTGTTTTTGATGTTTCAAGTTTCCTTTAAACAAAAAACATAATAGTTTATATTGTTCAATTAACATTTTTATTTACACATTTATAGCTTACATCTTTTTATATTATTTGTTGCTGTAGTTTGTAAAATATTTTTCAAATAATGTATACACTACTTTATCATGCTGGGATGCGTTTAATTCTTATTAGTTTGCAACAATTATTTCGAATAACAGTAAAATTTAGTAGATTGTTGCAGGTTTAGTAGATACTTTTAGTATTATCAAATGCTGATTACCACGTAAATAATACAATTTAGCGCATGCGTAATAAATATCCATCAGTGGAATACCGTGGTTTATTCCGATTGTAATTTATACTATTTTTAAAGTTGTCATAATTTTCCTAAAATTTTATTTCATTCTATGGTCTATACATTCTATGGCCTCCGGTAGGTTAGTGGTTAGTGTTCTAGTCTGGTAGACCGGAGGTGGTGGGTTCGATTCCCACCTGAGGCACTGGTTAAGGAGCGCACAACAGGCCCGATAGAGGCCTAGGTGTATTTCTTCGGATTTGATGTATATTCATCCTCCTTTCAAACTAACTAACTAACTAACTATGGTCTATACAAATTATTATACAAATGAAATTTGTTGATATATACATACTACACACATATGTGTGTATGTAAGATTCTAATAGTTTCCCAGATATACGAAATTTGTATTTAATTCATATCAGAGGTTCTAAGCCCCCCAAAGAAAGTCCGCCAGATAAACGTATATTTGTATCTATTTGATATGACAGGTTTCACGTCCTCTGTTGCTAGTCCGTCTATTTTTTGATCTAAATATTCATGTTGATATTAAAGTGGCTTCGAAAAAATTTGAATACTCTTGCTGTTATATTTTTCAGATATAATAAAGGCCCAAATAGACTACATAAACGGCTTGACAAACATACCAATATTTTACGATTGTGCAAGCCTGTTGTGTAGTGTATGAGGGTGATTCGTGTTTGTACAAATGGTTGCTGTTTGTTTGTACAAAAATTTAAAAATTTTGATTTTTACACAAACATATTGAATTTTTGTCAAACCATTTGTATGGTATTAATAACAAATTTTTCAAAAAATTTACAAAATTTGAGGTGTGTAGCTGTTGGGATGTGTGACTTATAATACTTACAGTAGCGAGCACAAAAAATGCAATGCGTGTCGATGATTTCTTTGATTTCGTCTCTTTCGAAGTAACGGTAATGAATCCATCTCTCTTTTTCTGTTTCAAATAAGTAACATTTTGTTCCAATTTCTATAACACAAAGTTAAATCATTTTAATTTGCTGAAAAAAGTGAACCTTTTGCACGAGAACAAAAGATGCAACGCAGTGAAAAATTTATGATTTCTGTTGTGTTTTTAATGAATGTACTAATGAGTGGTTCCTTAGTAAAACGTTTTCCAAGCAAATTACACTTTATAAGACCTTCCTCAGCCGATAGCCTATGTTGCTAGTGCTTTAACTTTAAGATTTATTATAATTTTAATTGTAATAATATCTAAATAAATAAATAAAATAAATAAGACCTTCCCATATGTTCATTTGCGGAACCATTTTTGTGAGCCGATATTGACCAATTTAATCTCCTGACGGTCTTTAAGTGGTAGTTTTCAATTGATGGCCACTGTCTGTTTCCTTTTCACTTTTTTTCTCAAGTTAAATCGTGATCCAAAGCTATTTACGCCAAATTTTTTTTCTCAAAAAAGTGATCCAATTTCATGCATTGATTCTTATCATCTAGAGGTTTAATAATAGTTTCCTTTATATAAGATGATAATTACTTCAAGAAACTTTCATTAAAAACACAAGAAAAATCATAATTTTACTGTTATTTCATTGAGTTGCATTCTTTGTGCTTGCGCAAAATGTTCACTTTTTTCAACAAATATTTAACTTTGTGTAATAGAAATTGGAACAAAATGTTGCTTATTTATTTCGAAACAGCAGGAATCAAAAATCATATCGACACGCTTATTTTTTTTTTGTGCTTGAATGAGGGCATGACGCCTTGCCCACTTGAAATTTTGAAGTAAATGGTAGCCTATAATTCCTTCCAGACATACAGTAGGGCACTGAAATTTTAAGAAAAAATTAGTCTAGCCGTCTACAAAGCCCAAATTCCAAGCCGAATCGAGGTCTTAATCTCTTCCTTTTAATTAAAAAAGTTGGAATTGAAAATATTTGAGGCCATTGAAAATCAAACAATTTTGCATTATTTAAAAATTGAAATCTTTCAACAAAATAAAAATTTATTTAAAGGTTCACAGAAAACTGAAAAACGATTTCAATTACCAAAATTACTTTATTCCTATAACAGAAATTTTAAATTTAATTACTACTTATAGTTGATTTCGTACAAAAAATTTTTATTTTTGTTTCTATTTTTGTTGTTGTTCAATACGTTCTTAAGATTCAAATAAAAAATAGAATGAACCCATTTAGAATTTTTGATTAATCGTTTAATTGAAAATTTTTCAAAATTAGTTTTTTCTGTGTTATATAAGATTATATAATATTGTTAAATTGAAAACAATATCTTTATTTGAGACATAACTCTGTGACTGGAACATATGCAGTGACAATGGGTCTGTTCAATAACTAAAAGTTGTTACTAATTTTCACAAAAATATTTCAAATTTGTATTGAAATACAAAAACAATTTATGATAATTTGTAACAATTATTTGTTATTGAACATATATAATATAATTTTGTTTGCAAAAAAAAAAAAGACATAATAACCACTGTATTAAATGTTGTTCATAAGAAATAGTAGAAATATCGATTTTTACCAGTTTCTGTGACGTCAAAGAAACGCCAGATACATACTATTTAAATAATTACTCCAGATGTAAAGAATGAATTTTCCTTGTAATTATCAAAAAATATTTGCAAAAAATATCTACATATGAATGTACATAACGTATGTACCTAAATAGCTATTTACATACATATGTATATAATAAAATTATTTGTTACTTAGTTTTTTACTTAACATTCACATTTTATTGATTTAATCATTGATAAAGTAACAATAAGACACATTTATAAATATTTTATTTGTATAATAAATACCGTGCTAATGAAAATCAATCATATTGATAATTCAAATGACTTCTGAATGGGTTGTGTGTGGCACAAGACACTTGTAACATTTTTCTCTAATATTAAATTAGATATTTGGAAATGCTTGAGGTCCCCAGTCCCAAGTTGGTTGAGTCCATATATAACCTGTGTCGGTCATTGAGCAGTAAGCATTGTAGTAACGACCGGGAGAACTAAAAAGATTAACAGTAAATTTGGCGTTTTATTTATCAATTATTATTCGATTGTACCGGCAGTAAGAGAATTGGGGACACTTGCATCGAAATTGATTCTGAAATTCTTCTTTGCACACCTCGTTCCACCAACAAGTTCGCTAGTAAAGATGAAATACAAAATTTGATTTATCATCACCAATAAAATGCTGGTTGATCTCACCTCTGTCATGTAACCATGTACACTTTGGTCGGAATAACTTCTTTTGACAATGTGGGCCGATGTAGCCGTTGTCGTTGCCATGGTATGCACCATAATGGCATACGTTGCAATTAAAATTGGAACCTGCAAATGTAAAACTTAATTTTTATTATTCATACATATACATATGTATGTAGTAAACTAAATATTTACCATTTATTATCCCAACTGAGGAGTAATATATCCTATAGAAATCTTTGCTTGACAAATTTTAATCTTATAATTTACTTCCTTTATTTCTAAATATGTTTTGTGTGTTATTGTTTGGATTTTTTATTTTTTATGTAATAAAATGAACAAGAAATTGTTATTACACCGTTCCAATTTTAAAATTATTGTGTGTTTATATTATCATCCACTACATTTAGTTGTGCTATACTATAACCGAATTGAAAACGGTTGTATTTTCCAGTAAAATGGAAATATGAAGTTATTTTTTTTTCTTACACACCGATTCCGAATAATTTATGAATATTGGCGTCGATGCATATTTTATACTTGAGAGCAATTTTTCATGTTTCGATCGTGGTAAAAAAACACGAAATTTTTATTCAAAAGGAGAAAAAATTCAGTACGTTATAAAGCCACTCGTAGTCGGTCTTGATTTGTCGTTTTTACATAGTGAAAAATTGCTAAAAAATTTGTATGGCCTGTGAGTCTGATTTTAGAAAGTCGTCGTTACTTTTGTATAAATAAATAGAAAAAACAATTCGAGAAAGCAAATTAACAAATATCAGGCCTGATTATTATACCCTACACCATTACAGTGGGAGGGATATTATTCGTTTGTGCTGATGTTTGATGTAACATCCAAAAATATTGGTGCTTAAAGTATACCAATTGGCTCAGAATCATTTTCTGAGTTGAATAAGCTATGTCCGTCTGCGTGTCCATGTAAACCTTGTGCGGATGATACAGGTTAATGATATTTGGCTCTCTTTTGATCTAGGGATGAAGCTTATTGAAAATGGTTAAAATCGGTCCATTATTTCGACTGGCCCTCATACAACCGTACCCCGGAATAGGGCTTTTGAGCTTATAATTATGTTAAACGTTCTACTGCCGATTTTCGTAATGATCGGGCCTCATTTGATCGTAGCCCCCATACAAAGTCCCCTTCAGAAAATAACATGAAGGTCAAAATTCACTTATAAACACTAGTATCGCGAAAAAATTTAAACGTAAATCCCTTTACCAAAATTTATATATTTATATACATATTTACCTTTGCTCCCATCACTGCCCCTCTTTTAGAAAATTACTTTTTTTCTGTCATAAAATTGATTAAACATTCAAATTAAACTTCAAAGTTTTAAAGTACATTTTTCAAAAAATATTTTAAAATACTTCTACTGATCAAACAATGCGAAATTAGATGTCAAAAGAACAAGAAGATTTGGGAAATATTTTGTATTATTTTTTTTTATACTGTCAGAATAAAAAAAATTAAAAAAAGTCTTTTTAAATTTGCATCCCTTAATATCGTTTTAGATTTTCAATATTATTCTTCAGAGAAATTTTTGAAGGGCATTTTTGACATCATCAGAATGAAATAAAAATAACACAAAATGATTTACAAGTCCTCATGGTCATTTGACTTATTTGGCATAGTATGGTGTTTATAAAAGTATTTATAAAATTTTATTTAAAATAAGCTCCTTTCAAATTTTGAAGTCCTTTTGCAAGGAAACGGGATCACGAAATTAAAAACTGTGAACGCAGTTTTGCTTCATTTAATCTCTAGTTTCAGATTTATATCATCTGGTTCGTGTCTAATTTTG